TGGCATAAAAAATAAGGGTTTTGTATCTGAGAAGATAATCATGTGACTATATTACCTCAAAAGAGATAAAGGTATGACTTTGGTGACTCAGATAGATGTAGTGTTAAAATTTGGTTTTGGTAGTGATCATAATTATTTATGGTAAAGAATCGAGTAATTAAGCTTTTGGCTTAGGACATAGTATGAAAGGTCTAATTTCGCCACTTGTCAAAGATTTATAATTCTTGAAAAATCAAAATAATCTTTAATTCATGTGATACTCAAAGAACTTCAAGATTAAAACTTATTTCATTGCTTATAACCCTAAAAAGTAGCATAAGTTCCATCACCAAATTGTTTTACAAGATATTTAGGTAAATAAAGAAAGAAAGAACAAAAACAAACTCAAACAAGACAATGCAAGTGAAATGAAGCTTTATGATGGATAAAATGATCTTTTCATAATTAGGATGCCCCATATTATTCATCTAATCTTGTGGCACTTGACTCGATCGGATGCTACATATCATGCTTTGATGCCCCACTAGAGTTCGTCATCCACTGCTCTACCAATTATTGTGTTAGCGTTCCATTTTCTACAAGCATTTCTATCTCCTTTAACAACAGCCTACAATTCCCCGTAGAATGCCCAGATACCCCCAAGTAGAAATCACAAGCACTATCTTGATCATAGTTGTAAGCAGTAGGGGTTGGTGGCATTTTCGTTGGCCTCAGTGTGAGGTATTAACCTTTAATCGAATTGGGGTATAGATCTGAGATAGAAGTTTAGAACACCTTCAAAGTACTTATTTATCGTGATACTTTTTTTGGTCGGTTCGAACGAATAGTTGTTTCTTTTTTTGTGGTTATGAGGGCTCTGGACATGACATTCATTCACCCCGTCAGCTTTTGCTTTTTGATCAGTTGGGCTTTTGGAAGTGACTTTCAAGTCTCCTTTGTTGATTACATTTTTAATATGTCATAATATCCTCGAATGCCTTGGTTGAGTTTGCTAGCATTAACTAGAAAAAAGAGTTGGAAAAGAATTATGAAACATGTATGATATCTTTTCTTTAAGATGGGAGGCTGAACTTGTGTTGCCACCCTCTCCATCTCAGGACATATTCCTTAAAGCTTTCAGTAGCTTTCATCCTTATTCTCTGAATAACTTGTCGTTTTGGGGATAAGCCTTTAACATATCGATAATGCCCTATAAAGGAATCAGCTAGATTGACAAACGTCTTGATCTGCTCTTCGTTCAACCGATTGTACCATACTACATCTGGCCCAGTAAGACTATCATGGAAGTAATGAATCAACAGATTATCATCATTTAAATAGCCTTCTATCTTTTTACAAAATATTTTCATATGAACTAGGAGACAATTGGTGTCATCATATTTCTCAAAATTAGGCACCTTAAATTCATGTGGGATGACCAAATCAGGGACCAGGTTGAGTTCTCTCATTTCTAGTTCTTTGTGAGAGGCATTATCACTTTTCATAGCTTCATTTGCTTCCATCAAGTTCTTGAATTTATCTTCAAATTGTTTATGATTAATGATGTTATTCTTTAGGTTCGAGTGGGATGCCCCAAGGTAGGTTATCATTCTCAATGCATCAGTCTGATAACTCTGATATCATTTGGTAAGTATTTCCCCTCTATCAATAGCCTTGGTTGCCAGCACCTGGATCATTCAGTTCGATTCGTCTTGTAGAGAACTCAATGTTTGATTCCTCATATGTTGTTGTAACTTGGTCAACTTCTCTTACACCCGATATTGTGATTACTCATGAGATTACTCCATTGTTTCCATTTGTTCGTTCATGATGATAAGGAAATAGTATGAATGAATAATCTTGGTATTACTGTCACATAACCCTCCATAAATTATTTTCACGTTTTCATAACTAATGCATATAAAAGGCTTAAATAAACAAATATGATGCAAATGCATGTATGTAAAAGGTGCCATTCCAGAGTGACCATCTTAAAACAACTTTAATTGAACATACATATTTCGATACATAAAATAAACATTACATATAAGGGATAGCTTTAACTCCTAACTTCTCCATCTCTCTCAAAAGCCAAATTAACTTCCATTCATGATCAGCTGTGGAGTTATCAATCTTCTTCAATTCTCTTACAAAGCCAACTAAATTGACCAACTTGTGAGCCACATTGCTTGCTTGGGCAATAACTTCTTGCATAACGTCATCTTTTTCCTTCATATTCTATGTCAATTCTCAGAGTTGTAGACAATGTTGTTCATTTTTCCTTGTAAGAAAGTCTCTATGGTTACAGAATTCTCGTACAAGATCTTCACAGCCATCTACAATCTTCATCAATGTCTTGTTCTTGGTTCTAGTGGCTTCTAGCTCAGCATCATTCTCACGATTGTGGCGCTGATATGAAGCTTCCATATTGGCTATGAATATATTCAACATCTGGTTTTCGGCTTGACATCTTCACAAATCATTAACGGATGTATTGTGCATTTTTCTTTAATTTTTAAATTATAAGATAACTTCTTGGATCGTCCTTCATGCACCTTGCAATTCTTCCTCCATTGTTCAGCATTATTTTTCAGTTTAATGACCCCTTTTGCCCACTCCTCTAGGGTATTTCCTATACCAGCATTTTTAAAGCCTTGATTGATCTGTTGAAAACCCTCATACATGGCTTTCATCTCTCTATTCAGTTTATAACTTTCAATCTTCAAATGATGCACTTAAGCTTCGTACCTTAGCAAACATTATTTCTCCTAGATGTCCCCACTGATACCCTTGCCTTTGAATATTTTTGGCTCCATCTTAACAGGACAATCAGCTACCAAACTAGGTTGACATTTCATCTTGAACTCCAATATTCCATGATTTAAAAGGTGTTGGACTCGATGCTTTAAGGTGGTGCAATTCTCAATGGAATGTCCTTGAGCTCCGATATGATATTCATAATGAACATTGACATCAAACCAATTTGGATACAGAGGTTTCCAAGGTTTCACATACTGTGAGGCTACCTCTCGAACTTCTAAAATGTAACCATACAACTCCTTATATAATATAGGGATAAATTCAAAATAAGAGTCACCTATCGGATTGGATTGAACTAGAATCTTCATGTTTATTTCCCCTGACATTGGGAGTGGACTCTCAAATACCAACGAGTTCTAATTGCATGGATTCTTTTCATCTTTCTGAACTTCTACAGTTGTCACCAATTCCTTGGAGTCTACAGACAACTTGTTGTACGTGATTCTCTTATTAGCTAGAATTAACTTGTTCTAAAGTAGTTTATTGTGTATTTGACATCGCGGGATTGTTTTCATCGAGCTTTTTATTCCCACTTATAGAAGTATTTTTCCTTTGGCCAAAGAAGTTATTATATTCATCATCTTGGACATTTGTTCTCTCATGTCTCTTATCTCTTTTTTCTCTTTGTCGGACATACGATCTTTGGGTGCATAGCTCTCCACTATTTTCGGAGCTTTCTCAAGATGCCACTCCCTAGTTGTGTTATAGTCTACTTGATCATGAAACCCTTTGTCTATTATTAAACATTTTACTATGATAACCATTCACAAATCAACACCTTCTGATTATGCCATGATCATGCGATGCAAGCAAAAAGAAAAACAACATAAAAAACAAGTTAGTACAAATAAGATAACAAAGTGGCAAGATTTATTATAAAAGCAATAATAGAAAAATAAATTAATTAATAAGCTAATACAAATTAAGAATGCAAATGCAAATGCACAAGGTGTTAATTCCAAAAGCGACCACCATAGAACAATCTTCATCAGACCATAAGATTTCCTTAAACTAGACAGACGAGCTTCATTTTCTTCATTTACACTAGACAGACGAGCCTCGTTTTAATTCACCTACTGTGATTGTTGGATCTCTAGATCTGCATTTCCGTGGGATTCTCCAAGAGGAAAGCGACCTTGACATCTTGTGAATGATCTTCTTATTCTCGACTTAACTAGAATATGACTATTTGGTAGCATCTTGATCTTTGTTCATTTAATATGAGTTATCGATCGACTTTGAGCTCTTCTTCCGTCGATCAACTTTTTTTATAAGTGTAACATCCCAAACACCGAGTTAGTGACCAAATTACAATATTTTAGAATTTCATGATCAAATTAGATAAATTAAAGAGTTTAGGGACTTAATTGGAATATTTTTATGTAGGATTGAATATCAAATAAAGAAGGATAGAAGGGCATAATGGTCATTTGATAAGTAAATGAATTAAAAATTCATTTTGGTGTTATATATGTATCCACATGGAAAGATGAATGGAAGGGTTAAGAAAAATCTGGAGATTTTGGTTTAGATATCTTCTTCTCTTCCCGTGACTTCATGGAAAATGAGAGTGGGTCTCAAGTTAATGTTCCCTTTCATTTTTAAGTTGGTTTTGATTCTTGAAGTGTTAGGAAAGCTTAAGGTTGTTTAAAACTAAAAGATGAAGAAGTTATGAATTATTAAGAAAAATGGGTTTTTGAGTGAATTGTTGAGAAAGAGATAGTAAATGAAATTTGACTTGTCATCATTTAGAATATGATATTCAAGAGAGATTTATAACAAAGTTAAAAATTTGGTATGATTTTTTATTTCAAGTATGCTATTGAGAATTTGGATGTTTAGGAGTACTAAAGTGAAATAAGTTGGTTTGGGTGAGTATAGTTGAGTTTAAAGGTTTAAAAGGAAAGTAAAGTGAAGAATTTAGCAAAGTGTTAGAAAATTTTCGAGTTAAAAGGAATAAGTTCTGGGCAGGGGTATCGGTACTAGATGAACAGTATCGATACCTCAAATTTGGTTCTTACCCTATAGTGATTGCATCATCTCCAGTGATGGCTAAGGAGTTTCTAAAGATTCATGACCAAGTCTTTGCTTCTAGACCCCTAACTGCTACTGGCAAATACATTGATTATAATAACTTCGATATAGGGTTTGCTCTATATGGACCACATTGGCACCAGGGCCGCAAAATTTTCATGAATGAAATGTTCAGTGCCAAAAGAATAGAGTCTTTCGAGTACATCCGAGTTGAGGAAATGCAAGCTTTTGTCTCCCGCTTGTATGAATTATCAAGGAAGCCGATTATACTAGTTGAGCAGCTTTTCCATCTTACTCTCAGTTTCATATGCAAGATAGTGTTGGGAAATAACTACTTCGGTGTTTCTGGCGATGATCAGATTGTATCCAATTCGATAGTGAGCCTGCAAGAGTTTCAAGAGATTATAAATGAGTTTTTCTTTCTGAATGGAGTATTCAATATTGGAGATTGGATACCTTGGCTAGACTTTTTGGATTTGCAAGGCTACAAAAAGCGAATGAATGCTTTGAAGAAAAAGCTTGACCGGTTTCACGACCATGTGTTCGATGAACATAAACGAAGAAGATAGAATTATTGGAGGATTTTGTGGCACAAGACAAGGTGGATTTACTGTTGCAGCTAGCTGAGGATCCTGATCTTGATGTTAAGCTCACTTATGATCATCTCAGGGGGTTCACGTAGGTAAATATATTTTCTATATTCATTTTATTAGCAAAGTATGCATGATATCGATGAATAATTTTCTCGTCGGATAGTAGGACCTGATAAGTGGGGCACAGAGACCTCAGTAATAACTGTAGAATGGGCAATTTCTGAACTTATCAAACAACCACAACTTATAAGACTGGCAACCAAAGAGCTAGACAGAGATCGGCAAAGAGATATGGGTTAAAGAAAAAGACATTCCTCAAATTCCTTACATAGAAGCGATCATGAAATAAACAATAAGGAAACACCCGGTTTGTGTACTGCTCCCACCGTACTTGGCCATGGAAGATTGTAAAGTGGTCGGATAGATATTCCCAAAGGAACTCGAGTATTTGTAAACACCTACAGCATAAGAGAGACCCTCCCTGTGGGAACAACCTGATGAATTCCAGCCTGAGAGGTTCTTAGGGTGGAAGATTCATGTGAAGAGAACAAATTTTGGGTTGTTTCCATTTGGCGCTGGGAGGATGATGTGCCCTGGCTACAACCTTGGATTAAAGATGATTCAATTGAGCTTAGAAACTTGTTGCGTGGCTTCGACTGGAAATTGCCTGACGATACTAAGGCAGAAAATTTGAGTATGGAGGAAGCTTATGGATTGACAACACCAAGGAAGTTCCCACTTGTTGCGGTCATGGAGCCTCGTCTCCCTCTTCATCTTTGTAAGATATGAATTATGCATAACTCGTTCTTCTTGATATTATTATATAGGTCGATGTTCATTGTATATATTTTCCATATATGAATTTTATTATTGTCTAGATATGTCATTTAAAGTGTATGTTAGAACCCATGAACAATTTGTACAGTTAACGTGGAGTACCTCTCAATCGAAAGGAATTAGTTGAGATAAATCACCAAGAGCAACATAACCACTCTTATCTTTATCTCCCAACTTCTTACTAGAATCCCTATGATATGTTTAACTTTAATGTGTATGACCCAACGAACTACCAAGTTTATCACGAATTACAAAATTAGTTGCAAAGTCTACATGTATAGTTTCAAGCCTTTCAATCGGTAATGATAGGAGTTAATCCAAAAAGCTCTTTGAGAACTATTAATCTCTCAACGTTGGAGAAATGAATAAAGAGATGAGGAAGAAGAAAATAACCTCCAATATCAAGGAGAGGCATCAGATAGACATGTTTGTTGCTCATCCAAATATTGAAAATGATAGAGTTTTCCTCTAGGTCCTAACTAAAAGGGGAAAACACTGAACATGTGCATATTAGCTCAAAAGAGCAAGAGTGGAGGAAGTCAATACGAATTATGTAAAGACAGTGTGTGTTAGTGTTATGTAAACGAGCGTGTGCTATAAATTCTAGAATAGTTCTAGAACAGTTTGTTAGCTTCTTGTTATGAGCAGTTAAGTTGTTAATGGCTTGTTGCACAGCAGTTGCAGTTTCTTCTTGCTTGTATAAATAAGCTACTCTCTAACTCATGAGAAATCAGCTTTTCATTAATAAAGAATTATAAAGATTTCATTTCTTGTTTCTTAGATAGCTAAACTGCTATCTTATCATGGTATCTTTCGCCAATACCTGGGTGTTTTCTTCCACTGTTTCTTTTTCATTCCAGTAGCTGCACGAGATTAAGTTCTCACATTGTGTATTCCTGGCATCATGGTTGATTTGACGGTTGATCCCGAGGATGTGTCTCCGAATGCTTCCTCCCTGAGTCCTGGAACTTCTCGAGGTATGTTTGGCATTCAACACATACCAAAGCATGACACTGTTAAACTCATTGAATCCACATATCTTCTTTAGAAGCATCAAGTGGCTTTGATAATTGATGGCTATGGGTTGCTGAGGTTCATCTCGGCCGGATCTGTTGAACCAGATGAGTTCATCACTAATACATCTGGACAACTTGAAGAGAATCCAGTGTTTGCAGCTCATCGCCAGCAAGATAAACTGCTTGCTTCCTGGCTTTTAACTACTGTGAGTACAGAGGTTCTGCCTCACTTGACTGGACTTACAACTGCGATGTCAATCTGGAATACTATATCTCATCTGTTTGGTGCTCGTTCCAGTGCTAATATTTCTTCTCTTCGACATAATCTTCATTCCCAGCGAAAGACTGGTTTGACGATTAGGGAGTATCTTGCCAAAGTCAAATCCATATGTGATTTGTTGAATGCTTTAGGTAGTGTGGTTACTGAGCAAGAACATGTTAATGTTGTGTTAGCTGGACTTACAATAGAATTTGAGTCTATTATTGCAATTGCATCACGAGAAAATTTTTCTCTTGATGTTCTTACTGAGATGTTGTTAGATTGTGAGGCTCAACAGAAGATGTTCTTGAGTGAAAACTTTTCTGTAAATCTTGTTCTTCAATCTCGGGAAGGTGCTGCTGAAACCGACTCTTGTGGAACTCAGGATGTTAATACTGGGTCATCACAGGATCATTCATCTCGTGGACAGTCGAATGGATATCGTGGTCGAGGTCGAGGGCGTAACAATAATCATCCTCAATGCCAGTTGTGTGGCCGGTTTGGATATGTGGTCCAGAAGTGTTATCATCGTTTTGATAGAGACTACACTGGTGTGTCCGGGTCTGAGTCGATGCAAGAGAATGGCTCAAAGCCCACTGGTGCTGGAATTCTGCTAAACACCAGCAATCTGGTGGACAACCTTATGCTCACGCCGGAACCTCCATGCCTCCACCTTCATCCTTTGTTCCCACACCATTTTATTTTCCTTCGCGTATGTTCCTATGCACTATCCCTTTCCTGGTACTTCTCCTGGTTTTCCTTCAGATGCTTCTCGCTTCTCTCATGGTGCATCGCATTCCTCTTTGACGCCTGGTTCAGCTATGCACTGTCCCAACTCCCTCGGGCTCTAGCTCCTCAGTGTCTGCGGATTCTTTGTGGTACCCTGACACTGGAGCTACTCACCATGTAACGAATGATTTGTCTGGTTTTCAATCAGGTACCACCTATACTGGAGGTAGTTCCTTGGTCATGGGTAATAGTGAGGGAATTTCAATCATGCATGTAGGCTAAGGTTTTTTGAGTTCTAGTAAGAAACCTTTGATTTTACAGAATATGTTGCATGTGCCTAACATAAAGAAAAAGTTGCTATCTGTTTCTCAGTTCACTCGTGATAATGGTGTGTTCATGGAGTTTCATCCCTCTGAATGTCTTGTGAAGGATGCCCGGACTCAAGCAACTCTACTTCGCGGGAGGCTCACGGATGACGGGCTGTACCAGCTACTGCCTTGTGAAGATCAGAGGTCTTCTTGTTTGGTGAATAATGTCTCGAAATCACCTGTGTCTTTGAAGTTGTGGCATTAGCGTCTTGGTCATCCATCCTTGATGTTGTTCAACGTATTTTGAAGTTGTGTAGTATTGTTTTCAATAAAACTGAAGCAGTAAATGTGTGTTCTGCTTGTATGCAAGGGAAATCGCATAAGTTGCCCTTCTGTAAATCATTGACAGAATATAATGAGCCTTTTCAACTTGTTGTCTCTGATGTCTGGGGACCAGCTCCTGTATGCTCCACTGACGGATTTCTTTATTATGTTTTTTTGTTGATGTTTGTAGTCGTTATACCTGGATGTACCTCTTGAAACGTAAATCTGAGGTGGCTCAGTGCTTTCTTGACTTTGCGAAATTGGTTGAAGTGCAGTTTGGATACAAAATTAAAGCTCTCCAGACTGATGGTTGTGGGGAATATCAATCACTTCGAAAGTGGTTCTCTGCCAATGGAGTGCAGCATCGTCTCTCGTGCCCTGGCACCTCGGAGCAGAATGGTAAGGCTGAGAGGAAGCATAGGCACATTGTGGAAACAAGATTGACAATGTTAGCTCAGGCTTCCTTACCTCAGAAATTTTGGAGCTATGCTTTTGCTTCTGCTGCTTATCTTATCAATAGATTGCCCACACCTGTTTTGCATGGCAAGTCTCCCTTTGAAGCTCTGCATCGTGTCCTACCAGATTATTCCTTTCTCAGGGTGTTTGGTTATGCTTGTTATCCTTATTTGCGTTTGTTTAATCATCATAAGCTGGATTTCAGGTCAAAAAAGTACGTGTTTCTAGGATATAGCACTTCTCATAAGGGGTATAAATGTCTTGATGAACCTGGCAGAGTAATAATTTCGAGGCACGTTGTATTTGATGAAAGTGTCTTTCCTTATGCAGTGTGTAATATTTCAAATATTGCTCCAGATAATGGTGTCTCTACGGGTGTTATTCCTCTTCTCTCCCCTATACAGACAATGCATGGTTCATTGAGTGCAATGTCTCTTTCACCAAGTGAGAACAACCAACGTGCTCCTTCATCAACACATAATCAAAGGCATAATGTGAATAATCAAGACATTGGGGCCACATCTCTTGCCATGATCGAGGACCAAGATGTGCATGAATTTGGTAATGCACGTGGGGTCATCTCATTTGAAGATATGCCAGCAGATGCGCATGGGGCCATTACTTTTGAAAATATGCCAAATCGTGCCTCTCCATTGACGCACACTTCACCAATGCATGTGAATAGCCAAGCGCATGAAAGAATTGACCACTACACCCAATTATAATGTGCGTGACATGATGGCCACTTCGTCTAACTCTAATGCACATGTCGTGGTTCCCATCATAGAAGACCAAGTGGTGAATTACATACTTTCAACGCCAGCTTGTGATCATGGGACTGAACAAGCTTTATTAAATGAAAATAGTTCACGTGGTGGTCTCATTCGCTCTACAGTGCCTATATGTGCTGCTCCATTAAGTGCAAATCCAACGTGTGCGCATGGTCCTATGAGTTCTTTTGTGGAGCCTATAACAAATATCACGCCTGCTTCTTCAATGCATGGTTCATTGGTTTCAACCCTTGCTCCTTTTCATACAACCTGCCCACGTGATTCTCTTGTTCACGAGAATGATGGACAAGTTACTTTGCCTACACATGATTCTCGGGTTATTGGAGCAGATAATGGTGATGCTCCTAGTAATTCGAGTACCACACCTATTGAAGCTATGCCCGACCGTGATGATATGCTTGGGACCACATCTATTGGAGCAATGGCTGACCATGACAATGCGCATGGGGCCATTTCAACGAGTAACAATGCACATGGGGCTGTTTTGGTTCAGAATGCGCATCATATGGTTACCAGGGCCAAAGATGGAATTCGAAAACCTCGTGTTCTGCATGTTGAGTATTTTGATGAAGAGCCTCGGTCCATTAAAGAAGCTATGAAGATTCCTTATTGGAAGAAAGCTGCAAAGGTAGAGTTTGATGCTTTGATTGCAAACAACACGTGGTCTCTGGTTCCTCTTCCTAGAAATCGTGTACCTGTTCACTGCAAGTGGATTTTTAAGGTGAAGCGTAATATGATGGCTCAGTGTCTCAATACAAGGCTTGTCTTGTTGCGAAGGGGTTTCTTCAACAACCGTGCATTGATTTTCATGAGGTTCTTAGTCCAATTGTGAAACCTGTAACGGTACAAGTGATTCTTACTCTTGCATTGACAAGAGGTTGGTTGCTGCGTCAAGTATATATTAATAATTCCTTTTTAATAGGGCATTGATGGAAGAGGTTTACATGTCTCAGCCTAGGTTTGTGCAAGCTGGTGATGGTTTAGTTTGCAAGCTGCATAAGCTCTATGGCTTGAAGCAAGCTCCTTGAGCCTGGTTTGAGAGCCTTCGAGAGTACTTGGTCTCTGAAAG